CCACTACTCGCACCCGCACACCCCGCGCCACCAAACGCGCCCCCAAACGCGCCTCCCATCCCCACTCCCCCACCCGCACACCCCCCCGCAGCGCCACAGCTCCCACACCCACCTCCACCACCACCGCAAACCGCGCCTCCACCAGAACACCCACCCCCACTCACCCCCGCCGCACCAACACAGCTGCCGGCAACGCACGCGCCGTGCGCGCCCGCCTGCGTCTCCGCAAAGCACGGATCCGCGACGTAGGCCGCGCCGGCAGCACCAGCGACGCCCACGCCCGCGACGCCGACGCCGACGAGCGCCGCCGGCGCCGCGTACGGCAGGTAGGGCCCGTCGAGCGTGCGGGGCCGGCCCCAGGCGTCGGACGTGAAGGGGTCGTCGCGGCGGGGGAGGGGGCGGCCGTCCTTGCGCGCGCGGCGCACGGCGTCGGCGTAGGCGCGGTCGAGCTGGGCGGCGCGGACGCGGGCTTTCGCTGTCGAGGCGGGGGTGCGGATGGCGGAGTGGGCGGAGATGTGGGGGGAGGCTTGGGGGTCGTCGGGCGTGGTTGCAGCTGAGGAGTGCAGCTCTGTGGTTGCGGTGTGCGAGCGCGTGCGGAACAGGCGCGAGAGCGGCGACGTGTGCGATTCCCGGATCGCTTCGCAGTACCAGCATGTGCATTCGGAGTAGGGCTGGCCAAAGGTTTTCTGGTACGCCTTCGAGGTCCATTCGAAGGCGGCGTCGAGGTCCGTCTCCTCGATCTTGTCGTCGTGGTCGATGAAGTTGCCGTGCGCGACCCGCGTCGAGTAGGTGTAGTAGCGCTGGGGCGAGGTCTGGTGCGTGTGCCAGGCGAGGTCGACGTCGAGGGTGGGGACGGCGAGTTTGCGGGGATAGGCGGCCATGAGGTCGAAAAAGCGCGAGTATTTCACTACCAAACGGTCCATGGTGGTGCGCAGGGCGGGCGAGTGCAGCCAGTCGATCTTGTGCATCTTCTCGATGAAGCTGCCCTGCCGGATCACGGCCCCGACGAGGTCCAGCCCAAACGGCGACGCGTTCTGCCAGTACCGGCTCATCATGCGCCGCACGGCGCGCCGCTCCGGGAACTTGACCGCCGTCGTCTGCCCCTGCTTGTACTGCTGCACCAGCTTCGCGTCGAACATGCCCTCCTCCAGCACCTTCTTGACCGTGTCCATGGTCACGGGCGGCTCAGCCGTGGCCTCGAGGAGCCTGCCGGCCAAGCCGCCCGCCTTGATCAGGCCGCTGGGGAAGTACGAGGGCGGGGGGATGGGGTTGCGCGGGTCGATGGTGGCGGGCACGGGCGGCGGCTTGCCCGTGTAGTCGATGATGGTGCCGGCGAGCGGCAAGTCCTCTGTCAGCAAGAGGCCGACGTCGCGGCGGAAGCGGGCGACGCGCAGAAGCTCGTGCGTGACTGTGCATTGGCACTGCGGACACTCGGCCGCAAAGTCCTTGTCGGCGTAGCCCGTGCCCGGCACGAAGTCGCCCCCAATGCCGTCCACGTACCCCGCCCCGCTGCTCCACGGCACCAGGAAGTACGTATCCTTGGGGCACACGGGACAGCGCACCTCCCTGTCGGGCGGGTCGAACAGGTTGTCCCACGCGAGCGTGGTGCCGCTCTCCCACGCCTGGCGCGCCTCGGGAGCAGCGACGTACTCGAAGGTGGTCGTGTCGATGGCCTTGTTGATGAGGTCCCACGGCAAGCCGGAAGCCCAGAAGTCGAGCCGGCCGACGCGGATGCAGTCCTCGAAGTAGCAGCGCGGGTTCAGCGTGTGCGCGTGCCACACCATCAGCACATCTACAGTACCACGCGTCAGCACCACAAGAGAGAGAGAGAGAGAGTAAAAACACCTACCAAGCGGAGGCAGCTCATCCGCGCGCCACACAAACGGCTTCGCCATCAACCCCGATTCATCATCAATGCCCGCGACACTAACCAGATCCTCGCCCCTAAAATTCCTTGCATTCTGCACGCCCGCCGCGCCCCTCGGCACGCGCGTCGCCCACCAAACCTCATAGCGATCAACAGCCCTGGCAACGTAAACCGCCCAGCGCTTCTCGCGCACGCGGTCGAGGGCCTCCTCCGCCGCCGCGCCCTTGACCACCCCCTCGTCCGCCGGCCCCGCCACGTCAAACAGCCCCGCCGTGCCCGCCATCTCGTGCCGCAGCTGCAGCAGCGCCTCTAGCAGCTTCAGGTGCACAATGCACTCGTCGGCGCTGGGCTTGACGCCGGCCCGCCCCGGCGCGAGGTCGAGCTGTGCCAGCCGCGCCGCCGCGTCGTCTTCGATGTGCTCCTGGTAGACCGGTGGCGGGACGTCGTAGGCGGGTGGTGAGGCCAGCGAACCGAATGGCGAGCCTGCCGGTGGCGAACCCATTGAGCTCCGTGACCCTCTCATCGACAACATCGACGGAGGCCTGCTGCCCTCGCCGCCCCAGCTCCGCCTCTTCTCCTTGTCCTTGCTCTTGCCAAACATAGCCGAAAGCGACTAGGCCAACTCCCAATCCGTAAAGCGTGCGTAGCGTGTAGTGCGTAGTGCGTGTGCGTGCGTACGTAGATGGTAGATAAATAGATAGGCAAGTAACTACGCACGTAAGCAAGTAAGCTTAACAGCAGCAGCCCACAGCGGAGGCGACGGCCCCGCCTTCTTATAAGCTTGTTTGCCTGCCGTAAGCCTGCCTGCCGTAAGGTTTAGGTACCTACCTAGCAGCTCGGGCCCAGGGGCATCAACCCAACCCACACAGGGAAGCCCACCCAAGGGAGCCCACACAAGGAAGCCCACCCGTCGCCCAGGGACCCAAGTTTGACCCAACGCAGCTCGTGTCGCCCCACCACCCACCACCCTAAGCCCTGACTAGGTATTTCGTTTGACTCGTTGTCGGTGACCCAAGGCCGCAAGGCCGCAAGCCACAGCCAAGGCGCAGGGCGCAAGGCGAGAGGCGCAAGGCAAGGCCGCACGCCGCAGGGCTTAGTTGGGCGCGCACCCGCAACCCGCGCGTCATCATCGCCTTTGCCATTAGGCAGCACCGTGGACCCTACCTACCCACCAGTACATACACACATACTCCCGTCGTACGCCATTGGTAATCTCTTCACACACACAACACACGCACATTGCACGTGGGGGCCAGCTCCGCAGCCGACGGCACAACTAGCGAGTTGGGGGCCGACGTCGCGGCGACAACCGACGTGGTTTGACGGCAGGTCCCACTCACCGCCCGAGCCGGTGCGGCTGTGCCGCGCACGGAGCTGGGGTTGCCGATTGACTCTTTGCGCTGCGCGCCGCAGCAGGGCTTGGTTGGTTTGGTTGGTTGGTTGGTTGGGCTTGTTGGTCGAGGCTTGTGGGTGCCGATGCGCTGACTGCTAATGTGGTTTCAAGGTTTTGTCATGCTGTTCCTGGCTCCCGTCGTCAAGGGTCCTGCGCTGTGCTGTCCTGCGCTGTGCTGTAGGTGGTGATGTCACGTCAGCAGCCGCATGGGTCATCGCTTGCTTGCTTATGTTGGCACCTATGTAGGTGCCTACCTATGGAGGTGCCTACCTATGGAGGTGTGGAGGGTTCGTGTCTTGTACACACCGTGTTAGTCCTTACCTAGTTGGCTATGGAAGTGCAGGAAGGCAAGGAATGGATGCCTGAAGAAAAGTTAGGTCAAGTTAGCCAAAAGTAAAAAGCAAAAGCAAAAGCAAAAGCCAGACAAAGCACAAAGCAAAGCACCAAAATAGCACGTACATACTGGACATACAAAGTGTAGGTCTATGAATCATTACTACCTAGTATTCATACCAGCGCCAATCTCATCTATATACGTTTGCATTCGCAAGTCTTTTTATACACCACATACCCCCTCCGCACACCCCCTTCCCATCACCACCAGCACACCCCTCGCGCAAACAAGCGCAAGCAAGCACAAGCAAAAAAGCCACAGCCAGTAGGTAGGCGCGGGATATCCAACAACCAACAGCTAACAACCGAAAAAGAAAAAAACCATCGAGCCAAGAGCTAAAGCTCGCAGCACTTCCCCCAAGTGGAGCGATCGGCTGCCGATCTCCGTGCTTGGGTGGGGATGAGCGCTGCCTAGCATCAAGTGCTAACAAGCCACCAACGCCAAGCTCCATACCGCCCGGGCCCCGCTTGCGCCTTGTGGAGCTGCTGCTGCAAAGCAAAGCAAAAAGCCCGAGGCCTGTCTGGTAGGACGGGAGGGGGAGAGGGGAGGATGTAGAATCATGTTCGTGAATAGGAAAAGAAGACGTCGTGAACAGCAAAAGAAGAAGCAGCGCGCGCAGTGCAAAGCCCGTAAGCTTCGCTTACTCGGTCTTCGGCTTCGACTTGCTCTTCTTCGGCACTCTCGCCCACCAGTAAACAAAGACGGCGACGACAATGTTGAAGAAGATGTACGCCCACATGATGCCAAAGTTGCGCCATGCCGTGTCGAAGCTAATGTCGACCTGGGACAAGAACGTGTTGGTCTCGGTCATCTGGCAGAACTGGCACTCGTCGCGCGCGTTTTCGTCGAGCAGCCTGCCGCCCGCCATCTGCATGTACGGCGCCAGGTAGTCGCCGCAGGTCTGGCCCTGGGGCGGCGGGAAGCGCAAGTATTCGTTGCTGGCGCATGTGGCGGGTGCGTTGGCCACGGCCGTCGACAGCATTGCCGACACGAGGTACGTGAATGGTGAGACGCGGTACATGAAGATCCAGAATCCGGGGAGCTGCTCCTTGGTTGCGAGAACACTGCAATGACTGTTAGTGGCTGAATCAGAAGGGGAAGAGGGAGAGGCGCGCGACTTACCCGCAGAAAATCAGCGTCAAACTAAACATCAAGTTGGCAATGTTACCACCGGTCTCGGCGTCCTTGATGCCAGCAATCATCATGTGAGAAAATGTCGACGTGAACAGCAGGAAAACCCAGATGAGCAGGAACATCAGGCCGCCGCGCTCCGTGACCGCATCCGTCTCCGCCGCGTTGCGGTACAACCCGATGGGGTAGTACCAGCAGAAGTAGAGAATGGCGGCCGCGAGCGTGTTCCACGGAAGCTCAACCACAATGTTGGACAGCATGAACGCCTTCCACGAGTATGTCTTGGACGGGCGCTCGCGCACTTCGTACAGCGCGCGTTGCACCACAAAGTTGGGCATGATCTGCTGCACCAAGTTTCCAAAGATGGTCATGAGCATGAAGACAGAGAACATCTGGTTCTGCAAGCCCTGCGTCGTGTTCTTCGCCTTGAAGAAAGAAAACCCAACGAAGAGAGCAGAGAAGAGGCACAGAGCAAGCTTGGAGTAGATGTAAGATGGCGTGCGCCAGTACTGCTGGAACACACGCAGGGTCGTCTCCCAGATCTGGACGGTCATGGGCGCGGCGAATTCGCGGTAAGAAGCCGGGTCGTCCGATGAGCTGGGCTGGCTCTTTTGAGGGAGCTCAGCTCTCATCTGGGCCAGCTCGGCCTTGACCGCCCTAAACTCATCAGAGTTGCGCCACGTCTCGGGCCAATCGATGTCCGAATGCGAACCGGGGGCGGCACCAATAACCTCAAGCATCCACTCGGCCGGGTTGGCTGCGGGCGGGCAAGGGTGTGCGCCGTTCCGCTCAAAGTAGTTGGTCAAGACCTTGGAGTTCTTGCCAATGTCGCCGAAGTAGACGGTGCGGCCGCCCCTGGCAAGGAACAGAAGACGATCGAAGCGTTGGAAGAGCATTGCAGACGGCTGGTGAATGGTGCAGAGAATAGCCTGGCCATTCTTGGCGAGCTTCTCCATCAGATCACAGATAGCCCAGGACGTTTGAGAGTCGAGACCGGAAGTAGGCTCGTCAAGGAACAAAAGCAGCTGAGGTTTGGCGGCCAGTTCGACACCGATCGTGAGACGTTTGCGCTGCTCAACGTTGAGACCCTCGCCAGGGACACCGACAACAGCGCCAGCGTAATCTTCCATTTCCAGGAGCTTGATGACTTCATCGACGTATTCCAGCTTTTCGGCCTTGGAGACGTGCGCAGGTTGACGCAGCAGGGCGCTAAAAGTCAAAGCCTCGCGGACGGTGGAAGTTTCGAGGTGCAGATCCTGTTGCTGGACGTAACCGGTCTTACGCTGGAAGGAATCGTCGCGTGGACGACCATCGACAAGGGCGTCACCAGTGATGACACCCATAGTGACACGAGTGGCGAGAACATCCAGAAGAGTAGTCTTACCAGCACCAGAGACACCCATGAGCGCAGTGAGGGTACCGGGCTTGACCCAGCCGTCGACGCAGTTCAAGATGCGGCGGTCCTCGGTCTTGATCTTGACGTCGTAGCACATGTCCTCCCAGTGGAAGATGGCCGTTTGCCTCTCAATGATTGCACTAGCATCCTTGTCGATGTTCTTCTCAGCGACCTGCGACTGGCCGCCGGCACTCTCCTCATCAACGGGGGAGGACTTGACGGAGGCAGGAGCATGGCCACGGCGGAAAAGGAGGACCTCACCCTTGGACTTCTTGGCCGAAATGAACTCGGTAGCAGCGAGGTAGGTGATCATGAAGAAGAGCCCAAAGGCGATGAGGATGCCGTAGTTCCTCCACTTGTGCGCGTGGTAGTATTCGTAGGACGAGTTAATGTACGCATCACCATTGATATAGGTTTGGCCAGGCTTTCCGCCCACCTGGGCGCAGACTGTGCTGTCCAGAGGTGCATTGGGGAGTGCAGGCACCATCTGGGAGCAAGTGTAATTGCGTTCATGGAATTCGTTGATCATGAGCGACTCGAAGCCGTAGGAGATCGGGTCAAGGTAGTTGATCCAACGAGACCAGCCGAGCATGTACTGCGTGGGAATGGTGAAGCCGGTGTAGATGACGAGAGCAAGGATCAGAATGGCAGCCGGAGCCAAGGCCTGCGACAGCGTGCGCGAGACGGATCCGATGGTACGGAACAGCATGGACATGACCAGGGTGAGGGTGAACGAAACCAGGACGAAGAAGAAAAAGGCACCCGGCTCACGCCTCAGGTTGGTCATGAAGTACAGAATCAGGTTGAAACAGATGGCGTTCACGATTTTGTAAGGCATGTCCGTAAGCATCTGATAAGGTTAGAAATGACTCTTTAGATCAGGGTTGGAATTGACTTACCGATGCGAAAGCTTCAGCAGATGGGTGGTACAGCGCATATCTGGAATGCTTCTCAACGATGGGACGTTGAGCAAAGAGAGTCAGGATTTCAAGGGCAGAACCGAAGGCGTTGAAGAGGACAGCGAAGAAGAGAAGAGCACCGCGCGAGAAAAAGCTGGCGGTTGTCATTTGGAGGTTGAAGAAGACCGAGCTCAGAATGAGAGCCATGATCATGTTTCCGATGAGCTGCGACAGGGTGAGACTGGGGTCGCCCTTCAGACGCTGGAAACCACGCCACAAACACAGCTTGACCTGTTGACCGTAGGACAGGGTGTAAGGGGAGGCCAGGCGCTGGTTCTTGGCCTGCTGCGCCTTGCGCGACTGCTTGAACTTCTCGAGGTACTCGCCGCCGATACTGTACTTGCGGTCGTACTCGTCAATCTTTTGCAGAAGCTGCTGACGATCAGGGCTCGCTTTCCAGCGGGCGGCAAATTCATCAGGAGTGCGGGGAACCTTGTTCTCGAAGCCAGGACGGACGACACGCTCACGAGCAGAAGTCATCGACGTCAAGAAATCAGCCGTCGTCTGACGGTCGGGGCACTCGAAGCCCATGTTGACAAAGTACTCCCTGGCCTCGGTGCTACGGCCAAAGTAAATCTGACGACCCTCGTACAGAACAGCGACCTTGTCGAAAACATCGTACGCTGCTTGGGGGGCCTGGTAAATGGCGACGCAGGCGGTGCATCCGTTCAGCTCGGTCTGCATGCGGAGGGTCTTGCAGAACTCGATGGCGTTGGCCGAGTCAAGACCACGAGTGCTGTTATCCCAGCACTGGAGAGGGGCATGCGAGAGGGTGGCTTCGGCAATGGAGACACGCTTCCGCTCACCACCAGACACACCACGGATGAAATCGTTACCCACGCGAGTGTTGATGGTGTGAGAGATGCCGTACATGGCCATCACGACGTCCCTCATGTGATTCGCATGAGTCCACTTGTCAACACCTCCGGGGGGTTCGCGGTGGGCGCGAGCACGGGCCGCAAAGGCAAGAGTGTCACCAACCGTCATGTTGGGGAAGTGGACATCGACCTCGGCGGTATAAATGGCCTCACCACGGAAATTCTTGTGCATATCCTTTGCTGAGATGCCTTGGTAGTTGATGTACGAGCCGGGCTCAATCTCGAAACCGTGCGTCTCGCCTGCAATTGACTTGAGAAGCGTGGTGCATCCAGAACCGGGAGGACCAAGGACAACCAACATCTCGCCAGCCTCGACGAGGCCCTCGAAATCGCGGAGGATGTCGATCCTGCGTTGTCCAATCTTGAACAAACTGCGGACAGTGCCAGGAATATCCAGCAGGACGTTGCCAACGCTCTTCTGGTGATCGGTGGCGTTGCCGAAACCGTAGACGTTCATGTTCTTGTAGGCAATACCGGCCGTCCTCTCAGGGTACTTCTCCGGGTCACGGGAGACGAGGTGGAGCATGGCCTTGGCCCAAGCGCGGGCGTTGAAGTTCTCGCCATTGGGGTCCAATGAAGAGTTGGGCTCGGCTTCGGTGAAAGGGTTCTTGCCAATGGCCGAGTATGTGGAGTGATTGGTGTACTGTCTGGCGAGCGAATGGACCTGATGTATGCGTTCCTGCTCCGAGCTGCTGTCTGAGCTGGATGATTTGTCGTCTTCGACGGCCTTTTCCTCGGGCTTGGAGCTAGATGTCTCGCCGCGGGCGGGAGAGTGGTCGCGCAGAGTCCTCTCGTCGCTCGGTTCGATGTGGTCGGGGCTCAATCCTTGGTTCACGTCTACGCCGGAGGTGTGTATGGTGTGGTCGGCATTGCCGAAGTTGCCCATGGCCGCGAACGACATTGTGGAGTGGGCTGGAGCCGTATTGTGCTCCGATTAGGTAGATTAGGTAGTATAAACAAAGACGTATTACTGCAAGAGTTAGGCCCAAAGAGGGCAGGGGGGAAAGAGGGAAGTGGCGCGAGGTGCTAAGGGTCGGAAGCAAGAGGCGAGGCGTACAGCGTATATAGGTATTCCTGTCAGCTCTCGGGAAAGGTGCCATAGTTGCCTCCGGCCCAAGCTTTGCAGCAGATTGACGTGCTGGCAGCGATCGAGGGCCCGCCAAGTAGGAGCCGGATCCGGATGGCGGAAATCGAGTCTTCCGGAAGAACGCCTTACCCATCTCGGTAAGTTGAGCGAGCGGACTCCTTGTTCTCGAAGCCCTGGCAGCATGCCGGCCCAATTAGCATCCCGCCGGTACGATATTACTAACTCCGCCCTACGCGTCCTTTGCCGCCTGGAGACAGAGTTCCCCGTGCGGGATCCCTACCATCCGCTCCCCGGCTGGACGCGAACAGAACATTCCATTGTCCTCTCCGTCGTACAAAGCACCCCAAGGCAGCCCAAGGGGTCCAAACTCCCACGCTCACGGCCCCACCCTCCCCTCATAGTTACTCATCCTGGCTCACCTCCCATGCTATACTGTTGGATGAGTATGCATTACATCCACCATCCAACACGAAACGCGTTTCCTTTTCGCTTCCTCCTAGCGTCACCGCTTTGCGCGCAAAACAAAATCCACAGCCGCACGCTCCAGGCCGTCCATCGCATCCATCTTATCGTGAACGCCTCCGCGGCGCCCGCGGGCGCCGCGAGCGCCCTGCCAGCGGTGTGCGGAAGCCCGGAATGGGGACGACGCGAGCGGATCGGCCGCGTCTGGTCGCAAGTACTTTCCACCGTGGTGTGGCGTTGGCCCCCCTGGGCGGCCTAAGCGTGAGTCATGCCACAAGCTGTCCAACGAGGGCATGGCACGCCGCCAAAACCCAGAGGTACGAGTACGAGTAGGTAGTCGTGGTGTGGCCTCTTCAATTGTGAACACCGAACACCGCGACGGAATGACGGACATCCCGTCGGCATCGCGCCGATACGCTGTTCCGCTCCCCCCGCGCCGTTGGTGCCCCTGGCGTGCATAAGATAGATAGCTCCCGTCGTCCGGCGCCCACCACGCCGCCGATGACGAGCACCTCGTGAACGTGTGTGCAACAAACTGGTCAGACGCTGGGCAGTAATGGCTGGCTTCTTGCTCTACTGCTTACATTTGCTTACCTCTACCGTTGCTTTTCGGCTTGCTCCGACTCACTATTTCGGGTGCTTCTAAGTTTGTCCGTGTCGTAGGATGCTGATATTATGTCTGCCAGCCACAGTCCTCGCAGGCTTCCATGGCGACGACGCCAACGGCACCACTAGAGACCACCGTTGCGTCTTGATAAGCACGCACACGCCGATCGGATGCCGGCTATTTATCTCCCGAAAACACTCTGACGCCGCCGCTTAGTCCCGAATTACTCATTACGTTGGTGCGCAATGTGGCGTTGACCCTTCTCACCAACTGGCGTGAAGGTCCCGTATGCCAGTACAGGGTGTAGGTGCATCGGATTGGAATTAGGTGTCTGTGCCTGGGCTTCTGAGTTGTAATTCGTTGCCTCCACAAGTACGAAAACCCGTGCTGTTTGCGGCATCGACATTTCTTGCTCCACAGCGGCCCCGTTCCAATCCGACGTCCCTACACCCTGTACGTGTCCAAGAGAGCCACCGCCATTCAAACAGATAAACCAAATGCACAGGCGTCCGACAATGAAATAAGAATGACCGACCGGTTTTGTCCACCGACTCCTTGTATCCAATGTTTGTGGCAACATCCCCCAAGCCGACAGGTACCTTCCCACAGAAAGTAATAGGCGTACGCTCATTTTGTAGGAAAACTCCTTTGCACAAGCCACCCGTATCTACGGCGCTCGACAATTATTATGATCAAGGTTGTTCCTCGGCTCAAAATGCCTCTCCAAAGAAACGGCTCGCAGCCACAACCTCCTGGTCCCCGTTTGCAAAGTCCCATCCGACGATAGTCGGGTCTTGAGAGCAACAGATAATCCTCCTGGCGTCGAACTGAAGCTTAAATACGCGAGAGTTGCTGCCCGTGCCCACAACTGGGACCTGGCCGTGGTGGTGGTGATGGTGGTGATGAGCGTGACCTGCGTGAGGTTGCCCAACACCGTGTCCGCCAGCCCCTGGAGCGGCGCCAGCATTGTGCACTTGAGCTTGGGTCTGCTGCTGTAGCAGCTGCGCTTGTTGTGTGAGCTGCTGCACGCCATGTTGCAACTGCATAAGGCTTTGTTGGGCCGCCTGTTGGGCCGCCTGTGCGGTGTTAGTTTGCGGTTGCGGCTGCTGGGCATGGTTCTGCGCTGCTTGTGCCGCAGCATTCATCATCTGCATCTGCTGTTGGATGTGGGCCTGAGTGGCTCTCAGGGGCCGTCTCCGACCGCCTGCGTTGGCAACCGCCTCGCTCTGCAGCAGACGCTTCGCGGCCACCCACTTCCCGTCTGGCGCCTTCTTCCAAATGATAATGCTCTCGTCATAGGATCCGCTAACAATCCTGCCCCACCGGCTGCCGCCACCCCCTGGAGGCAGCTTGGCGCCGTAGGCAAAGATTTCGCGCGGATCCCGGGAACCAGCGTTCCTTGCGCGTCGTTCCTCGCGCGAGAGCTCCGTGATTGCACCCCGCGCGCGAGCTTCAAAGTACTGCTGGTCGACGGCACGAGCCTCGGCCTCGAGGTCTTCTTCATCACCCGGCATGTCACCGAACTGCGCTTGCACGGTGCGTACGAGGTTTCCGTGGCCGCGGAGGCAAGCCACCTCGGCACCGGTGGCGCGGTCGAAGATCCGGACGGTTTCGTCGGAACTACCGGTCACAATACGCCGGCCATCAAACTGGACGCAAGCGATACCCTTTGTGTGTCCTGGTATCGTCTTGAGGCAGACGCCGGTATGGATGTCCCAGACTTTGACAGTGCGGTCGCCAGATGCAGAGACTACTTGGTCATCATAGGTTTGAATGGCGTTGACGGCGGCGCTGTGGCCTTCCAGCGTCATGAGCAGAGTGAACTCCTTGAGCGGCTTGTAGTTCAATTGTGCGTTCAGCTGCTGATTCTGCATTTCCTTCTCGACATCAATAATGTAGCTAGGGAAACGGGCTCCGCTTTTTGTCATCTTAGGGTACGCAGCATCAGTCGGAAGAAGCTGCCGGCGGTTCCATATCTTGATGGTCTTGTCCTTGGAACAAGTGATGAGGTAGTTGTCATCGAAGCGCAGGTTCAGTACAGATTCACCGTGAGCCTTCTCAATCTTCTTCAGCATCTGACCAGTCGAAAAGCGCCATACAATGACGTGACAGTCGCTTCCACCAGAGACCACCAAGTCGTGCTCAGGCCGCTCGTCGAACTGCAAACACAACACTGACGCATCGTGTCCTTGCAGCGGGGTGAGGACCAACCTCTGGGACTCCAAATCCCAGATACGAATGGTTTTGTCCCGGCTGCCACTGACCACATACTTGGCCGAGTGCTGGATGGTGTAGACGCACTCCTTGTGTCCTTCGTACGGGTGCGAGGGGTGCGGCAATTGGAAGTTTGTGTAGCGGCCCCCGGTCCAGTTCTCCTCGAGCCGTCTCTTTTGTTTATACAAGTACTGCCAATTGACCATGGGGTCGCCAAAAGAGGAGAGAAGTAGGGACGGCCTTATAGGAGGGAAAATCATGTCTGCCGGAGGGGGAGAGGCGATGGCGTCGTCAATGGCAAACTGCGGTCTGGATTCAAGCCGTCTCGCCAGGTCGTTGACTCTGGCTTCCGAGGGAGATTCCATCCCACTCGTGTAGGCAATATCTTGCATATCGTCGCTCTCTTGCGCAGGGCTCTCGTCTGTCTCGACGGGGCCATGCTGCTCCGCCCAAGCCTCGCCCTCCACGCGCGAAGCGACCGGCCCATCGCCAAACAACGGCCTTTCCTGGATACGCTTTTTAGCCGGCTTGCGTTCGAGATCAGCGTCGCCCCCTCGCGCACGCGTCTTGCGCTCCTTCATCGCAGATCGGTTCGCCTTTTCCGTTTCTTCAAAGGTCCTAATCTGCCTGATGTTGGCTGACCAGCCCTCGGCACCAAACATGACCTTCCATAGTTGGCTGTCCAACGCGCGGCCCCGCCATGCCTTGGACAGGGTTGAGGCTTTCAAGAGCGTCTCGGGCTCGAGATAGGAGAGGATCTGGAAGGTTGTCTCGGGGGGAAGGTGCATAACAGGGTCGAGGTGCAGCCGGGAGTTCAGTCGCTCGACGATCCCCGCTATGGACGCGGTGCGCAGCGACCGCAGGATTTCAAAAGCGAATTCTAGCGAAGATAAGTATCGAAGGCAGGGCACCGGGCTTTAAGGGGGCGCTACGGACCGGCTCTTTCAGCCTCGGGCAAGCCAAGGACCCAGTTAGGCAAGGCGACGGGAGCGATGTCCTGCTCCATCTTGTCGAGTTGAGGGGGCTCCGTCCGGACGGCGGCATCGACGTCGCTCTGGCTGCGCGTCTCTTCGGAATAGCCTTCGTCGAGCTTGAAAGGGGTGCCCATGGCGGAGTTCTGGTAGGGCGGGAGGTACTGCGTCTCCGCGACGAAGGCGTCGGTGTCGGGGTTTGTTTGGTCGGCCATGGTGGTCGAGGGTGGAGGGCATGCGACGGCAGGGCGCTCGGTGACCAGGGCGTCAGTGTCATGCGCGCTTGGAGATGGTGGCAATCCGTGGCAGCGTGGCATAAGCGCACTACTAGGAGGTGGTGATGAGCGTCGCGGCGGCAGTTGTTGCGGTCAAGCAGTGGAGTCCCTGCAGGACGTGGCGGGGCGGGAGGCACCCAGGTGCCAGGACAAGGTGTCGGTCGATGTGGCTCTTTTGGCGCGCGCACAGCGACAACGATGTCATGGGCGGTGTCGAGAGAAGCTCGGGGCGGCTGATCGCTGCCGGCGGGCAGCGCGAGAGAGGGTCAATGGGGGTGCATTGGGCTGGGCGCACGCTTACATAACGCCTTGGCCGTGGCCGCTTTGGGCTGCTGGGCGCAAAGGAAATGCGTCGGGTACAACGCCCTGGAGGCGCGCGGCGGCGGCGACATTAGACCTTGCGCCTGCGTGACTGGCTTGCCATTCGCCCCTCGACCAAGTACTCTCTCTCTCTACTCAGTCTTCATCGCCCTCTCCCTCTCCCATCTTCCTCCCCTCGACCATCCCTCGCGTCGTCGCATTCTCTCCAAGACAAGCCACTCCACCACTTCCCCGAGCGCTTCTTTCATCCGCGCGTGCTTGGACCACCCGCGCCCAAGGGGGTCCTAGAGAGGTGAAACATCGGCCCTCGCCCGTCCAGACAGCACCTCATCCCCTACCCTACCGCTTCGCCCCATCACCACGACCTCTCGTCCTCCTCCTCTGCCACTCTTTCGCATCGCGTCCCCACGCCTCCACTTCGCGCGCGCCCACGACCTCACCGCATCGCGCTCGACAAACTGGCGTGAACGGCGCGCTCGCGCTCCTCCCCGGCGAGGTTTCACACGGTCACCACCACCTCAGACCCCATTCCGACGACACGGTTATGATGGAGATTGGGGTTCATGGGCCTTTGTCTCGAACTCATACCGCTTCCATCTCGACTGCACATTCCCGCCTCCACAGCTCCGGAGGTCCCACCCCGCTCATGCCGAACTCGAACCACGCGAGCTTCTCGACCTTCTCGTCGAGGGCCTCGGATTCCTCCCAGGGAACCTCGGCCTCGACCCTCTTCCCCCAGCCGCCCATTCCTACCTCGACCCCCGTCAACGGAGGCCCCGTCGTCGGCGCCGAAAATGTAATCAACAAGCGTGGCGACAAAGAGCAGTCGCTCTTCATGATCTGTTTGAACCTGCGCCGCCGCCTGAAGAACGTGCCCGACTTTGAGCAGACGCTCCTGGAGGAAGAGGAATTCGCGGACGAAGACACCGACCCGGTCACACTGCTATGGAGGACATTCCGGAGGGGCTATCCCTTGATGACCATTTACAACGCGCTCGAACCCGAGGTTCGTTTGGAGGTGGACAAAAACAAGGTTTCAGAGAAGAAACGAGAGCAGGCTGCCACGTACAAGTTTTTGTCGGCGTGCATAAATCAACTCAAATTCCCCGCAGAAGACTGCTTCGTCATCAGCGACCTTTACGGTGACGACACGACCGGCTTCGTCAAGGTGAGTGTTCCGCCATACCCTAATGTTTTTTTTTTTAAAAAAAAAAAAAAAATAAAATAATAAAAAAAATAAAAAAAATACGGCTTCTAATGAGTCCCCGCAGGTCGCCAAGGTCGTGAATCGAGTCCTCGATATCCTAGTCCAACAAGGCATAATATCCAACGACACGGAGCAGGTCGACCCGTCTGCGCCAGCAACGGCCACTTCGACCAAGCGTACCCATCGCCAGCATGTCATCGACGAACTCGTCACCACGGAACGAACGTATGTTCAGCATCTCGAGCTTTTGCAGGCGTTCAAGAAGCTTGTGGAAGAGAAGGGTGTCATCACTGGTGATGCTGTCCACGGCATCTTCCTAAACTTGAACGCGCTTCTTGATTTCCAACGCCGATTTTTGATCCGTGTGGAGCAGACCAACGCACAGCCAGAGTCGGAGCAAAACTGGGGCAGGTTGTTCGTTCTGTACAAGGAGGCATTCAAGGTCTACGAGCCATACATTGCCAACCAAAAGAAATGCGAGGAGGTGGCCATGCAAGAGTTTGAAAGGCTGAAGGAGACCGGCGGTCCTCCTGAACTGAGGCAGATGGTCGAATCGCCAACTCATCTCACCTCCTTCCTCCTCAAGCCTTTCCAGCGTCTTGCGAAATATCCTTTGCTTCTGAAGGTACATTCCCCCAGCAGAATTCATCTCCACATATTCTGACCGAGAATCAGGAACTACGCGACAAGGGCGACTTGGACGACGCGAGAAAGGAGGACATTTCTACCGGTATCGAAGCAGCGTCGGCCGTCCTCAAGAGAACAAACGAAGCCATCGATCAGGAAGACCGTAAGGAAGCAGTGGAAGAACTCAAGGGCCGCGTTGAAGATTGGAAGGGCCACAAAGTAGAGGGCTTCGGCGATTTGCTCCTCTACGGCACCTTCACCGTTTTGAAGGGCGATGGATCAAGCCTGAAGGATCAAGAGCGAGAGGTAGGCAATCCCGGATCGCGCGTTAACCTCCAGTTCGACGAATTGCGCACATGCATAGCACTAAAGCCGAAAACCATGTTGAGCATTGCTAATCTAATTTTCGCAGTATAAAATTTACCTTTTCGAGATGATCTTGCTTTGCTGCAAGGAAATCAACCCCAACAAGCAGAAGAACAAACTTACGAACAAGCCCTTGTTTGATCGGAGGGGCAAGCCCAAGCTTCAACTTAAGGGCCGGATTTTTATGCAGAATGTCACCGACGCCATTTCCACCAGCAAGCCTGGTACGCTACCCGTTAAAGTTCGTTCTCGTCTTATGCGCTGACGTTTTGCTAGGATCTTATACTTGTCAGATTTTCTGGAAGGGCGATCCTGGGATTGAAAACTTTGTGGTCCGTTTTACCACGGAAGAGCTCATGAAGAAATGGGCAGCCCAGGTCGATGCGCAACGAAGAATCTTCAAGGATGCCCAGACACGATCCAGCACGAGTGCCAAACAGTCGACCACCTCTGCGACCGAATTCACCTACATCAGAGACAATCAGGCGCAGCTTGAGAACCCGTACGCCGAGCAAGAGGACGACGAGGAGATTGATCCAGCCGACCCTAACGGGTATCCGGCGGATTACAGCCTTAATCAAGATACCCCAACTATCCGCTCCCGCTCGGCGACCGGCGAAAGTGGCGTTAATCCGCTCGACTCATCGCGCTCGCCACCCCCGCGCTTGCCTTCCAATGCCATGCAAAACCCACCACTCTCGCTTCGGACACAACAACTCCAAGCGGGCGCTGTCTCGCCAGGCGGAGGGGTGCACATGGACTCGTACTTCTCGCCACAACTTGATTCACCCATGTCGACGCGCACAAGCTCTTCGTCTGGTATGTTTCCCTTTCCAAGACAACAAGCGCCTAACGGGTGGCATGGAGACGACTACCGCTTCACTGCCCCAGCAATGGGCCGCAATGGCTCCCGCGACGCATCCAGCGGGCCTCACGGCCGCAGCGGGCTTCAACGGCCATCTCTACCTCCGAACGCTGGTGCCGCTAGTATCAACTCGCAAATCCGGTTTCGTTCAGCTAGCAGCCCTGATATCCACAACCACCTTCTCACCGCATCGCAGCGCCGTATCCCAGGCGGCTCGGTGCCAGATGTGCCCCCCTTCCCCACTCACTATGCATATAATCCCGGCGTCAATCGAAGCCAGACAAACTCCCCCAATGTCCCCCCTACTTCGAACCCGCGATCCGGCACGCAGTCACCTACCATACAGAGGGAGAAGGCGGCGTTGCGGACACCCGGGTCCGAGATCAATTTGCACTTCGATGCTATGCCCTCGAGGACCGCGACGCCAGGTGGAGACAGGCCGGCCTCGCCGACGCTGGGCTCCGTGGCACCGTCGGATGTTGCGATCCCATCGCAGCTCAAGGTCAAGGTGCACTGTCCGTCGGCGGGCACGACGATGACGCTCGTAGTCAGCACCAACATCAGCTTCCAAAGCCTCAAAGACCGCATCGACGCCAAGCTGCAGCGCAGCACCAACATGAGCCTCAGCTCGGGGCAGGTCAAACTCAAGTACATTGATGACGACGATTACGTCAACATCATGTCGGACGAGGATGTGCAGATGGCCTTTGAGACATGGAAGGAGCAGCACTGCGACCAGCTGCTTTCCGGGCAGCTTGGCGAGATCGAGCTCTTCTGCCAGCGTTGAGTTGGAGTTGATTGGGCGCCGAGTCATCAGCGGCACGCGCTCTGCGCGTGATTAGCAATTTCCTGTCTCAGAGCATGTCGATCGCATTTTATGGGCTCTCCCTCATCTTCTGGCGTCCGGGTCCATGGTTTCTTTTTCTCCGGTGGAGGGTGGCTATATCAAATCATCATATCCACGGCGCATGCTGGCGAATCACGGTTGTTTTTCCTCTTCTCTTTCTTCTCGGGTTAACCTTCCGGGGCTTTTACTTCTTCCGAGCAACTTTTTGATCGCTCTTAATCGACCGGGTCATATAGGTCCTGTCTTGCGGTGTTCGGGCGGGGTTTCCTTCTTCGATGACTTCTGTAACATGGAGAGGAAAAACCGTTGCATGGACAAGGGTGGGGGGGGTGTCGGTCGTTTGGGCGTCGTCTTGTTCCGCGTTTGTCGGGGCTACAGCGCAAAATGATAGACGGCCCTTGTTTGTATCCCCGCATAGTCTCTTTTTGTCGTTGTTGTTTTTTGTGGGATTGTTTTTCTTTTTTTTCTTTGCTCTCTCGAACCTCGCTTCGAGTCCAATTCTGGCTTCTTCAACACGGTTCGCAACAGCTAGCTGTCGTCCTCTCCGAGAGAGCATCACACACGCACACGCAACATCCTCCTCAGTTACGCCGAGGCCTCGCTACCGCCCGCCACTTGCTTGCTCGTCGAACGCGTCGCCCGCATCCGGTTTGCGCTCTGAGACGACAAAGAGGGAAAGGGAGAGTAGGGTGATAGGCGGGAGACGACGACAAAGCCGGACATGGGTGGAGGCGCTCGCAACACGAAACGGCAGAGGGGCGTTGACTTCCTTCCCTTCCACGACCATCACCACCACCACCACCACCACCACCAAATATACCCAGGGATAGAGGAGCAAGAAAACCGGAGCGGGCGCGGAGACAGGGGCGCGCGCTGAGACAGTGGCTTATCACGCACGGAGCGCGTTGCGCGCGCTAGTTGTGTATGTGTGCGGGGAACGCTCACGGGCGAGCGGAGGACAGCAGAGAGCGAGCGGGAGAGGGGGATCGGCGGGGCTGACTGACTGGCTGGCTGGCATTTTTGTGTTTTTGCGGAGGGACGAGGCAGCGCAGCATGCGGGACTGGGGTGGTCGTGACGAAGTGATGATGATGATGATACAATTTCATGGCTGTACAAGCAAGCTCGTTGTTGCGTGTCGCTTCATTTTTTCTCTCTTTTCCCTTCGAGTCTTGGCTCGGCAGACGCTGCTCGTCTCGCTCGCCTGCTGCTCGCGGAGACTGTCGTTGTCGCCGTCGCCCTGCTGGCCCTTATGTCCTTTCTTTCCCAACATCATCATCTTCGCCTTTACCTCTCTCTCTCTCTCTCTCTCTCTCTCTCTCTCT